ATACAAACATGGAAGCGCTATCCCGTAGCATGAATATGTCGATCAAAGGAGCGGACCACATGACAAAACACGTATGGTGCTGAAGTTAGGCTGAAATGTAAGGCACGAAACTGGTACAAAATCCCACGATAGACAAACCAAAGATATGGATGGGAATGCTCCATCTCAGCAATGTGTAGGTAAGTGTTGGAAATGTCCACCTTGGTCATCCAAAGAGCTGGAGAAAATGCCCACAGAAGAAAAAAGTACGTCTCCATGGTAAAGCAAGGAGTGTGAACATACTGATTAAGATGACATAAATCGATGACAGGACACCAATCACAGGTCTTCTTGGGAACCACAAACAGGTTGGAGTAAAATCCTTGAGAATCTGGTGAGCTGGTTCAATAGCCTGTTGTTCGATGAGATCCCGAATCATTTCTGACAAACACTGACATATCGAGGGATCCCAAGGAAAAGGAACACTGGATAATGGAGGAAGGGAGAGAAATGGGATAATGAATCCCTCCAACAGCACCTTATGAACCAAGACATTGGTGAGAAAAGGTTCCTACAAATGAACGAAATTCAAGAGACAAGCCCTCACTGGATCTGAATAGATCACGTAGTACTGCTGTTGGCGGATCATGCATCATTGTGGAAATTTTCAAACTGTGGCACCATGGGAGGGTGGGACAGGAAGAGGTTGTGAAGTAGAAGGTTGGGGGAAAGGAAGTGGTGCTTTGCTCAGCCCTGACTGCAACAAATGATCTACCAAGTTAGTAAGGGTAGAATGTTGATGGGCGAAGGCCACTCGTGACTCCAAAGACTCAGGAACCGAGTCAAACACATAACACAGCAAAAACGGTGCCATGTGGAGGTCCCTCAGATAAGGACCCTGGAGACGGGTCTGTGCCAAAACCACACACTGACCAAGAGGTCCCGACAACAAAAAAAATGTTATTTGTTGGGCAAGAGCCTAAGACAACAGATGAGCCAACGTAAAAGGAAGGATAGAGGATTTCAGAAGAAAACCCCCTAAGGATTCCTGTTAAGAGCCTCTGACAGAAGGTGAAGTGAAGTAAGGTACCTTAACAGGGTCATGAGTGTGAGACAAAGGTGAGAAAATTGGGCTTGGATAAGTTGGACAGGGTAATCTGGATTTGCCCCCAAAACAGGTAGAACTGACCCCCCAACAACTGTTGGTCAAGAAATAAAAGTCCACCTAATGATAAGCAAGAGCAGATTGATCCAAAGTCTGTGGAGGGATGAGGAATACTAATGCCCACCACCAGTTGAGAGACAAATCGGCCCACAGGAACCCTAATATTGGGGGATGGGGGAAATATTATATAGGGTTGCGAAGTTTCATGTAAGAGGGAAGGTCTAGGGCCATAGGAAACAGGTGTAAGAGACGAAACATCACAAAACTGAGAGATAAAGTCCAATGAAAAGACCAATGACGGATGACCTGAATCATCAGGTAGTGAATGGGAAGGCATGGCAAATGATCAAAATTGTCTTCAGGCTGGCCCAACCCTGAAAGGTTGGCTCATATACTGCTTAATCTCCTGCCGAATGAGTAATGATATATCCCCTGATGGGTCGCCCATGCCGGTGGTTGAAATATGGCATCAGATGCTGGAAAAAGTACCTGAAGTGGTGACTGTAACTTCAGAACTTATGAGCAGGAAACACGAGGAAGTAATGCTTTATTAAAATATTAACTCCACAACTGTGAAGTGTTGTAAAGAAAGTTAAGAGAAAAATGAAAAATAAAACACTTCAAGGTAAATGAACAATGTAAAAAAGAATGACTGAACTCGACAGCTGCCAAACGAAAAGTGATAATTCAGTAGTGGTGCATAGAGGGAGTAACCTGAATCATGTGATAGTAGTGCTCTCCTATTGGTGGTGAGGTGACGCATGACGATTTGCATGAGAGACGTTTTGGAACTGTGGATTACAACAGAGGGAAGATGATAGCTTGTGGCCTGCATTTCTGAAAAAGTTTGCATATAGAGGGCAACACAAAATGAGAAAATATAATCTTGTGAGTGAAGGAAGAGTACCTTATCATAAACTTTTATTCAAAAACACTTTTTCAAATTGGAATAAGATGTAATGTTCTGTTGGCTTAAATCATATATATCTATATAAATATTAAATAGAAAACAAGTAGTTAAAAATAATGTTATAAGTGATTAAATTAAATTAATTGATGGAGTACCCCAAGGATTAGTTTTGGGTCCATTACTGCTTTATTATATTTAAATGATTTCTGAGAAATTAAGTTTAATGAAGAAATAACAAGTTTTAAAGATGACTCAGTATTAATCCATAATGAAAACTCTGATAATGATATAAAATGGATAAGATTGTGGTTTGATAATAATTTATGTTTAAATGTAAATAGAATAGTATTTATGAAAACTGTATTTGTAAATATTTATCTATTAAGAATAATATAATTTTAATCCAGTTCTGTAAAAATCAGTAAGTATTAAGTATCTTGGAGTAATATTAGATTATAAGTTAAATTTGAAAGAACACATTAAATTAAGAAAAAAATAAAGATATTTGCAGTAAGGTTCTATTATTTAAAACATTATATGAGAGTGAAATCAAACATTTATTACGTCTGATTCAATTCTACAATATGGTATCACCTACTGGGGAAGTACCTATCTAACAAATTTAAGAGTTAATTTATTTAGAAAAAGTATTATCACAATATGATCATTCTAAGTTACCTTTCTAAAACTGAAATATACTACTGCTGTGTAAATTATATATTAACAAAACACTGAATAGATTCACTAAAGATATTCAAAACTGGCAAAAAATAAAATCAATATATTAAACAAGAACTGAAGAATAAGGGAATTTAAAATTTCCTAAAGTAAACAAGGAAAAAAGTTATTTATATCATGCATCATAATTTTATAACAATAGTCAAAATTAAATAAGATAACTGTAATTAATAAAAATATAAATATTAAGTCAGTATGAAGGACATGGATAACTAATATAGAGGAACCAAAAAATTATTTATAATATATCCATAAAAAAATAATGTATGAACTGAAGAATAAGTATTAAAATAATATAACATGTTAAAATATGCTTAAATTGCATAAAATGTAATGAAGAAAATATTAATCAATTAATGTTTTATAATAAGTGCTTATTATGATCTACACTCGATTAATCTTTTTTTTTATGAGAAAGAATCCTTTTCATACATTTTTATTCTTTATTTTTAAATTGAGAGTATTGTCTTTATTTTTGAATAAACTGAATTGAAACCTGAACATGCAGAATGGTGTGAAATGTACAATTGAAACTACTATTTGCATAAAAAATTCTTTTGAGAAAAGTGAAATTTATTTGGACTGTAAATTCAGCTGGGAGGAGTATCCATTACAAGTGTAATATTTTAAGATTGATAGTGACTCATAAAAATGTTTAAATTTAACATGTATTGTCAAAAGAAAAACAGCTTAGACTAGGTAGCTGAGCTTAGATCTCTGATCAACAGGGACCAGTAATTTTGTGAAGAACTAGTTGATGATCTGAGGGATATTCAGTAGATGGTGAATGGAAATGAAGTTGAATAGGGACTAATACAAACTACAAGATAAGATCCAGGAACTCTTCTCATGGTTTATCTGGAACTGTGAAGGTGCATGCAGAGTTACCTTATATGAATTTAAATAAAAGGGCTAGAGAACACACACACACACACACAAAAAGAGATTCACCATTCTTCTGAACATACAAGAAAGGAAGATGTTTAAAATAGTATCTTGGATACAGACAGGATAAAGGCCTCTGATTTCTTTATGCTTTATCCTGAAGACAACAGGATACAATTTAAGCTTTGGAGAATACAGGCTAGACCCAAGTTAAGATATATTTTTATTTTTCTAACAAGGTTATTAGCTTATCAAATGAGTTGCCATCAGCAACAGTAGAAGCTGGCACATTACAGAAGTGTAAGAGGGGAGTCAATGAGTTCCTGTAAAATAATTGTTGAGTTTAAAATTTTCATTTTTATTTTTCTTCAGAGACAGATGTGCAAGGAGAACCTTGAAGGACCAAACGGTATCTTGATATCCACACATCATGGAGGATATATTTTTCTGTGTTCTTAAAGTGAGCCTAATTACTTCAATAAAACATATCACAATTGTACTGAAGAAATATCAGGAACAGTAACTACTTGTCAGGGCTAAAAACCAAAAATGTGACATACTGAACAGATGTGAAAAAGTTTATTAATTACCTATTTTAATTACATTAGGGAAAAGGTAAAACTGTTGTTAAGTTGGATATTTATTTTTCACTACTGTAATTTGTTTTAAGAACATGCAAAAATGATTAAACTGTATTATAATAAAGAAGATCTAGTGGCATATCAACATACATTTATTTGTTTTTAAGACTAACAAAATGTAACTAAAATGTATTGAAACATAAAGAAAAGAAATTACTGTTGAAGTTCATTATTTAGGAGGTTGTGTATTTGAGATGTTTACACAAGGGAGATAAACTATAATGATTCAAAAAATGAGATAATGACTGTGTAAAACTGCATAAAATTATGTATGTATTTACAGTTCTTACATACAGGAGAATACAAGTCAAAAATAGAATCGTAATTTCTTAAACTATACATTACAATAGGCTTAAAAGCTCTAATAACATATATAAAACAAAAATTGTTAACCATTAAATCAAACTTACATATATTCAAGAAATCAAGAAATTACTGTAACATTCTGTTTTCATACTATATAATACAAGTGCATGTGTTCAAGGTATAAATGCCCAGAAAATCTGTAAAATCACAGTTATTCATGGAATTCTATAATAATTTTCATAAAAAAGACAAAAAGAAATAATAATAATAAAACAAATACTAAAGTAAAATATACTTACTAAAATATTATCCTGATTAATTAAAAATATAAGGAGAGCATATGAAACATTAGTGGTGATGAAAAAAAATTACTCACCATCAAGAATGCACCAGTGGCCATCTATTTCTGTATGTTGTATGTACGAGTCTTCTATAGTTGGATCATAATCAGTCACAAACAATTTTTGAAAGAACTGGATTGTAAGTGCAGATTTTCCAACACCCCCATCACCAACAACAACAAGAATGTAGGTTACAAGATTTTCATTTGGGGCCTTAGACATAGTAATAATTAGAAGTTCAATGGACTGATTTCCTGATAGTTCCAAAAAGGCACTTGTTGAAGTAAACAAAAACTTTTATAGATCTTTATACTTTATATATCTTGCACAAGTTATGGCGAAGTTAGTCTTTGAAATTAACATGTAAATGAAACATGAATTAGTATTTGACATCTTACATGTAATACAGTTAGTGTATGTTAATGACTAGTAAACTACAAATAGCAAAAATAGAGGTTTTTTTTAAACTTCTTATTGAAAAATATACACTACACACTAAATTAGTGGTCCTTGGTGCATTACACAGTTAAAATAAAAAATTAATAAAGAATATTGTTAAGCTGTAAAGGCTTACTTCCAGTCCAGTTACAATAAAAATATCCACACTGACATCCACCTGCATCAAAAAGAAACAAATACAAAAATTAGTATTATTCTCACTCTGTTAATTTAATACCAATTTGCAGGGAAAACAAATATTTAAAATACTTCTAAATTTATTCCATTCACTAAAGATACTTAAACAAACAGATATTATAAACTTTAATTGATTGGCCAACAGCAGTTATTAAACACACTTGGCATTTTCATCTTCTACTGTTTCTTGAAAAGTTATGGTGCATTAATCACATAACATATATATGCAGTATGATGGTTTATGCATGGTTAACACTGGCAGTGCCAAAAAAGTGACGATACTATACCTATGTAAAGTTTTGTATTAAAAGTAAAAGTAATAGAGGAACAGCTGAAGGTTCAAAAGACAAGTAGCATGAAGATACTTGTGACTCAACAGTTTGGTTGTGATTGCTTAGCCATGAATATACACATCAACATTCAATGGGAGTTGCAGCAAAAAAAAAAAAATCATGTCTCATTTACATTAACACAAATTTAAGAATGCAGAAGATTTATAAAAAGAGAGAACATTTTTATTCTGGGTTTAAATTTAAGTAAGACCATTTACAGTTTCCTCAACAATGGAATAAGCTGCTTAAATTAGAAGTTTTGAAAATGATTAGTACCACCTTGTTTTGGATATAATGAAGATTGTGAGGAATATTTATGATAGAAAATTTTAAGCTTTCAAGTTTCATAGAACAGTGCTAACAAAAGAATAGGTGAATTATTTATGCTTGTGAAAAGTGGGTTGAAGTTATGGTATTTGGTATTTGTGATTATAGCTTACTAGATTCTGGCACATCCATTCCTAATTTAAAACTGTTGACCAGAGGGAAGGCAATCAGTCTATGGGATACGCCACCTATGAAGTTACTCTTAATGCTCACCTTCCACACATGCATTTGAAAATGGGAATAGTGTTCAATGTCATATTATAACCCAAACCATGAACCTTTCGATTCACTGTCCAGCAAAACTAACCAATAGGTTATGCATGACCAGAGGTGAGCTAAAGGCTTGAGGTCAGGAAAAAATTTAGAGGATGTTTTGTTTAGGAAAATAAGAAACATGCCGGTTGACTGTTGTCATAGTTAGTAGCTTAATTCTATGTTGATAGTGGCAGAAATCTGATCATGTGTGTTTTTGGTGGAAAGAATGGTGTGTTATATCAGCCACTACCAACATAGAAATAATCAAATAGCAAGTAAATACATAACACTGTGTAAAGTAATATAAAATGAAAATTGACTATTAAAGAACATAAGTTTGTACAGAAAAAAGTTTAAGCATTTCTGTACATCTTCTTCAGTCCATTTGGGTTCTCATAATTTGGGCCAATAATATGCCTAAAAAAAGGATCATGGAACAGTGGTAACAAGTCAATCAAACCATGAAGACAGTGATATGTCGCTATTAGTAGAGCTGATAAAGTTTTAGGAAGTTTTTTAGATATAGTGATTAAAAGTGAAAAAACGTAATTATATTTCTATACAATCCACTAGTCAGGCCACACTTGGAGTATTGTTTGCAATTTTTGCTTTTTGACTAAGATAGGATGTTGACTTATTGGAGAAGGTTCAGAGAATGGCTAATTACCATGATTCCAGAAATGAAATTTATCTTATAGGGATAAGTTCAGGTCAGTTAATTTACTTTTTCTTGAGAACAGAATGGTAATACGTAATAGACATATGAGCTTTAGTGATTTATCCAACATTATGCTAGAATAGCACAAAGAAATAGGAAGATATTATAAACAGAATTAAGAGAATGTGAAGACACAAGTTCAACTTTATGATATGAAAAAGATAAGCTAGTCCCCAGTTAGGATAGTTTTATTTTTCTAGCATTAGTGGAGTGAAAGATTTTACTTTTTTCAAAGGTGGGTTTGCCATCTTCAATAGTTATCCCCTATTTTATGTTAAAATTTAAGGATGTGCTATGTTTAATTTTTCTTGTGGGTGGGTGTTCAGTTAGGGACAGCCTTGAAAGACCAAATGTTATTAAACAATTCTAAAAGAAATCTCTACAAAGAAAGTCTACATTGGTCGCATAAATGATAAAGTGGTCTTCAGAGTTCAATTACAAAAGTTTAGAAATACAAGTTTTGTTTTTAAATTTTACTTTTAGACAGTACACGTATACAACTTACAAGATTGGGTTCGATAAAAAAATACAAAGTTTTCTTTCTTCACAAACAAAAGTATAGAAAGCTCGCATAGTATCTACCTGTCTAATTTCACGTTCTTGCTTTCACGCCCTTGTCAACAAAAACAAAATAACACAAGGTAAGTGCGATATTAAATGCAACTGCTAATGCGAACTTGTACATAACAGTTTACAGTTGCTAAAATTGTATATAAATATTACAATAAATTTGACTATCATTAAAGTTCATGCATGTTATTGCTTATATATTTGCTACCATAACATCTATTACTACAATATTTTTCAGTATTACTACTAGTATGAAGAACTTAAACTTACTATGCTTACACTGTTACAACTTACACTAGTTACAGCTAGACTGCACTTCTTTCCACCGCCAGACGTGCACAAAACAACGGCCTTCGTTGCTACAACTAATATTGCTCAATATGCAAGAACAAGAAGTTTGACGTTCAGAATTTGAATATAACAACATAAAACAAGAAAAAAATTATGTGTGTACAAAATTTATTAAAGAAATTCCATAGTAATTTACCGATATTTTTATGTATATATTTTTTATTATGGCATGAGTCACTCAAAATTTGGTTGATGCAATACACTACTACCACAGTATTTTCTAATAAAGAGAGTTCCATACGAGTAGCGCATAAATACACTTAAATAACAGGAAGATCGGGTGGAAAATTCACAAAGAAATATGAATTCAAAAACCTGATGTGTGATGACAAGTAAAACAAACTTTATTATAAATAAAGCAAAGAATAATAATAATAATAAAACACAGTGTGCATCCTTGTGTAGACAAAAGAGCAATCGCATCTAACTAGATCAGTCATTATATCTCTATTTCAGAAGATGAATTTCTACAGAACTAAACATGATGAAAACCAAGTAGAACCGAGAAAGTATACAGGCTCCAATCTAGCAGTAAATCTTGTAATTCTCTCTTTTACAATAGCGTCATTCTCGACTAGTCATTCCTTCACTGCGTTTGTTGGCTGTAACATATATAACATCATATACTTGGCAAGCCTAAGGATATTGCAGCATTTTTTTGCAGGCAAGGAAGGTGTCATCTGTTATGAGGGGATCCCAACATTTTGTTACGAACATTTAGTTACTGTACATTTCGCTACCGCCACATTGTTACTAGAACAACTTGTAACGGATTCATTCTTGTTACAACATTTTTGTGACATGACAGTTTTTGTTACAAATACCGATTTTGTGCCAGGTAGATTTTTAAATATAAAATTGATTGGTTCAATAATAAAAAATTACAATAGACCATAAATTGAACAATGATTTAGGGACCATTTAAAAATTAAATAACGCTATGGGGTGAGGTGGTATCCTTAGGTACTTGAATTAGGTAGTGGTGAATATAGCAACAGAATCCACTAATCATATAAACTACTGTAACGAAACCTTTCGTAACGATGTGACGGCAACTTGGATGCCACAATGAAATGTTTTTCATATCAAACATGCTGTCCATAACGAAATGTCCCAGACTTATTATGAGAACAACAAACACACAAGCATAACATAATACAATGTTCTGGGATAACATGGGACCTATTGGTCCAACTCGACTGTTCCACCTTCTAAACTATACTAAAACTATTAACAAATAACTTTTACAAAATCTGAAATCCAGCCCTTACCATTCATACACCTATTAAGTTTTCTCTAAAACTCACTTAAATTTACTGTCTCCATAACATCCGAAGGCAACCCATTCCAAAGGCCAACACCTGTTAGAAAAATAAAGCTGTCTCAGCTGAAAATGACTCCTACTCTGCCCAAATTTATATTTGTGTCCCCTTGTCCTATTATTCTCACTGTTAGATATGAGAAAAGATGATGCATCAACTCCATCAATACCCTTTACAAGCTTAAACACCTCAATCAGATCCCCTCCCCCACCTAACTCTTCTTTTTTTAAGAGAAAGCAATTTTAGAGATTTCAGCCTCTCCTTGTATGACAGTCCCTCCTTCTCAGGCATCATTCTAGTAACCCTTTCCAACAATTCAATGTCTTTCTTAAGGTAAGGAGCCCAAGACTGAACACAATATTCCAAATGTAGCCTAACCAGTGACATGTACAATGAAATTATAACCTCTTTAGACTTGTATTCAGTATTTCTGTAGATACAACCTAAAATTCTATTTGCCTTACCACTAGCAACGGCACACTGCTTGGATAGCCATATTGAAGGAAACTTTCTTTCGCTCTTCTTATGTGCTGAGTTACTTAACTTGTTGCAAGAGATGCATGAAATATTGGCAAATGTTAAATAATTCACGCATTTACAATATTGTTACGTGTCCGTTTGTTAATTGATTTCGTTCCGACGAAATTTTAACGACACAAGTCTTTACTTGATAAAACTGGTTT